CAGGAGAAGCTTCCAAACAGGCATTTTGTGGAATATTAAGCACAGAGTCAATGGTGTCAAATAAAACACGTGGGTTATGGCTGTTTGAAGAAATAACACTAGCCAAATATTCCCTTTTTGCTTCTTTAACCGTGCTCTGGTAGAGACGCCAACAGTCTTTTAAAATCTGAAAAGTAGCCTGCAGTTTGTCCTTTTTCCATCTGCGTTCAATACGACGACATTCCTTCCTTACAGCACGAGTTCTGTCATTAAACCAAGGCTCAGGTTTAATCCTTGGCTGCCTAGTTTTTAACGGAGCAACCGAGTCCAGGATGGTCTGACAGGAAGAACAGAACCATGACCAGAGCTCTTCTGTATTGGAGTGGAGGAAGTCAGATGATCCACAGAGCTGAAGAAAAGCAGCAGAGAACTGAGTGGCAGTGGAAGGGTTAATAATCCGACAGCGCCGAACAGCAGCGCGAGTTTTAACTGTAGTAGGTGTCAAAGTGACACTGAAAAAAACAGGCAGGTGATCCGAGAACACAGCATCACAGATTTCCAGATTAGTCACTGGCAGACCACAGGAAATAACCAGGTCCAATGTGTGTCCATGTTCATGTGTAGGGCCGGATACGGCCTGTACCAGATTAAAAGAGTCCAGAAGGCTTAAAAAGTCCTTTACCAGAGGCTTATCAGGACAGCACACGTGCAAATTGAAGTCTCCAACAAAAAGAACTTTGTCATAATTAGTTAAAATCCCAGATAAAAAGTCAGAAAAGTCACTTAAAAAATCCTTATTATATTTGGGGGGCCGGTAGACGACAGCACAGAAAACTGGGTTTACGTGTCTCATCTCAAAAGACGTAAACTCAAAGCTGGGAAAAGACGTCTGTAGAAAACACTGCTTACATTTGTAGTCCTGTTTGTAAACAGTTGCTGTGCCTCCCCCTCTCCCCGAGGCCCGTGGTGAATTAAAATAAGCACAATTTGCTGGTAAGAGCTCAGATAGAGCGCTGTACTCACCAACACTCAGCCACGTCTCAGTCACAAACAAAAAATCCAGGTTTTGGCAGCTAAAAAAGTCCTGAAGAATAAAAGTTTTATTCCCAAGCGACCTGGCGTTTATCAGGCCAATCCTGACAGGAACTGGATCCTGGGCGTCGACAGGTCGGGAAACCCGGCACAGCGGTCTCAGGTTTTGGAGACACCGTCGGCGCATGTTGATCCAAGAAGGGCGGGGACGGCGATGCAGAGGAGCTTGAATGCCGACCACTGGCACCAAGCAGACATGAGCGGGATCCAAGAAACGCCGAGGCACCCGAGAGCCCAGAAACGATCCATGTGATGATCGGTTAAAAGCAGAACAGTGCGTCATATAAAACTTCAGCTTCACCAGCCAGCCGCTTCGTCTACCGTGACGACGATGACGTCTCCGCCGTGTAAGCAGCGCAGGAACCCAGAACAGGTAGCTTGGAATCTCCGACAGAAGCGGGGGCAAGGATTGTTGGCCAGCAACATCCAATAATTCCATATCCTGGACCAGTGGCCGGAGGTCTAGTAATGTATTGCGATCGTACACCAGCAGAGACCCAGCTCCGCAGACAACCCAGGTCAGAAACAACACAAACAACAGCAAATGCGAGAGAGACAGACGAGCAGCCACATACACCGGCGCCATCTTGATCAGATCAGAACTAATGACAGTTTAACTTTTACTTAATAAATGCACTTTAACTGTGAAATCAGCTGCATTTCAAAAGTATTTGCTGCCTCGGTGCTCCGGGAGCGCTCTGAGGGAAGAAATCACGAAGGAGGAACGCTGCAACTTTTACTTAATAAATGCACTTTAATGGTTAAATTAGCTGCATTTCTCCGGGGCGGGGCAGCAAAATGAAGCTGATTTGACAGTTGCTAGACAAAGGTGGCAAAGTATGGCAAGCTGATTGTGTCATTAATAGCCACTTTTACCTATTACATGACACAACAACATGCCAAACTATTGGGTGCCATCTAGCGGCTGACAATGGTCATATCTCAGCCAAATATTGGTTTATAAATATGGGAAAAAACATAAATAAGTTGCAGGGCATGCAAATTATGCAACAAAAAAATGCTACTTATAGGGTGAAAAATATGGTAACAGTTTATATTCGTATAAATCTGAGAATGTACTTTACGTAACATTTATTGAGCTCATGCTGTTTACTTCTGTTTGGGCAATCCAACGTGTGCTTTCAAACTGTTTTTGAGTTTGAGAAATGACAAGAAAATTAGTACTTGTAAACAAAAAAGTTATGATGAAATTAAAAAATATCTGACGCCATTTTGTAGTTTTAAACAACTTTTTGAAAC